GGACACAAACATCCCATAAATAATATTCAGGAAGGATCGATGAGTTTCAATGACTGCGAAGAGTAAATATAAGCACTTCTTAACAATTTAACTTACAAACATGCAAATATTATGAATTAATTTTGTATTCAGGACTTTAAGTAAACTATGCAAACTGTAAACTGTGAATTTATGCTGAGTCATCATATCTAAGGCCCAGGATTCTATCAATCTTCATGAAATATTTATAAAACTTCATATTTGAGTTTTAATTTCTTTAAAATCTGTGAGATAAAGCAAATTTGGTTAAATTCTGAATGTTTTCATTTTTCACCCTATATAGGTTGCATTTCTGTAAATATTGACAATGCAATTTCCCATAGGAACTCCTTTTACGGCTAAAACTGTACCACTTTTACTATGAAGTTTTGAACAAAATCTTATCCTAGAATTGAAAGTTCATATGCACTACAATTTTTTTCAAAGGTCAAAATATAGGGCTGTGCGGCATATTTTCAACGTTTATATGCCCTGAACTTTTCAGAGTTTAAACTAACACTAATTTTCTTAACTACCCCTACCTCGAATGAAGGGTTACCACAGATTTCAATGTAAACAATATGCACATGTATATTTACTGGTAACATTCCCAAGTTATGTCTCTATGAGATGGAACACAGAGAGCATAACTGGGAACCAGTATGTAAACAAAATTAATTTTCTATGAATATTCTAAATCTCCCCAAAAGAGGCGTGGTTTGAGAAACAGCTGTATTTACAAAGTGCAACCTATACAATGATTGCTATTATGATGGGTTATTTTTATAAATGGTTGTCAGTTATTCATTGTTCAATTGACACAAAAAAGGAGGAGCGATACACATAACCAAGGATCAAGTTATATTTTGTAGTCATACAGTTTGAGTTCTGCAATAATAAGTATGTCTTAAGTTAATATGTTAAGTGATGTTATCCTATTATAATTAGGTTTATGAAAGGTAATAACAAAAATACCGCATCCCAACAACAAGAGACTCTTTAGAGCCTGTGTCGCTCACCTAGATCTATGTGCATCTTCAACATTGTAAAAACTACTGTTAACAGTTTCTATCTTATTTAGTTTTTGCCAAAAACACAAAAGAGGGTAAAAAATATCATCATTTAAGGGCAGTCACTCTTAGGGTGCGTCTAAACACAAAACGATTTGTTTTATTGTCCCATTCAAGAATATATATGGTTTAGGGGTGGGGATCTAGACAGTTTACAAGTTATCAAAAAGTAGGGGGTGGGGTGACCACCATGGACTTCCCCAATATTTCATTTGATTTGTTTTATTGTCCCATACAAGAATATATATGGTTTAGGGGTGGGGATCTCGACCGTTTACAAGTTCTCAAACAGGAGGGGGTGGGGTGACCCCAGGGGACTCACCTTTTATTTCATATGATTTATTTTATTGTCCCATAGAAGAATATTCATAGTTTCAGGGTGTGGATCTTGATCGCTAACAAGCTTTCAATAAAATGCTCCGCTGGGCACAGCTTGATACAACCGCAGAGGTCGAACCCTGAACAGTTGGGGCAAGTATGGACACAACATTCAAGCTTGATACAGCACTGAATTTGGATTGTGATTAAATATTTGACACAGCATAGGTTTCTGACACATAATGAATGTGGTCTAAGAACTTAAAAATTTTCAATTTACCTATTCAAACCATATCATTATTATTTGCTTTTATATATAAATCAGAAATAACCCATTTATAAAATGGAAAATTTTAAAGAAAAAAAAAATCCCTCCCCTAAATTTTTTGTACCCCCTTATGATTCATCACCCCCAAACTCAATCCCAGCCTTCCCTTTATGGTATGGTACCTTGCAGTACAATTTCAGAGAGATCCATACACTTGAACACAAGTTATTGTCTGGAAACTAGAAAAATGCTTGTTTATAGGCCCCTTTTTGGCCCCAAATTCCTAAACGTTTAGGGCAATTACCCCCAAACTCAAACCCAGCTTTCCTCTTGTGATATGGAACCTTGTAGTACAATTTCATAAAGATTCATACACTTACACACAAGTTATTGTCCTGAAACTAGAAAAATGCTTGTTTTTTTCCCCTTTTTGGCCCCTAATTCCTAAAATTTTGAGGCAATTACCCTAAAAATCAATCCCAGCCTTCCCTTTGTGGTATGGTACCTTGTAGTACAATTTCAGAGAGATCCATAGACTTGAACACAAGTAATTGTCTGGAAACTAGAAAAATGCTATTTTTGGCCCCTTTTTGGCCCCTTATTCCTAAACGTTTTGGGCAATTACCCCCAAACTCAATTCCAGCTTTCCCTTTGTGATATGGAACCTTGTAGTTCAATTTCAGAAAGATCCATACACTTACACACAAGTTATTATCCTGAAACTAGAAAAATGCTTGTGTTTTGCCCCTTTTTTAGCCCCTAATTCCTAAAATTTTGAGGCAATTACCCCCAAAATCAATCCCAGCACTCCCTTTGTAATATGGAACCTTGTGGTACAATGTCAGAGAGATCCATACACTAACACACAAGTTATGTCTGGAAGTACAAAAATGCTTATTTTGGCCCTTTTTTGGCCACTAATTCCTTAACTTTGGTACCATAACCCCCAAAATCAATCCCAACCTTCTTTTTGTGGCATTGAACCTTATGGTAAATATTCATGGAGATCCATTCACTTAAACTAAAGTTAGAGTGCGATAACCAATGTGTCTTCGGACGATGACAACGACAACGACGCCAACGTCATACCAATATACAACCAAAAATTTTTTAATTTTTGCGGTCGTATAAAAAGAAAGGGGGTGGAGGTGACCCCCATGGACTTCCCCTATATTTCATTTGATTTGTGTTATTGTCCCATACAAGAATATATATGGTTTAGGGGTGGGGATCTGGACCGTTTACAAGTTCTTAAACAGGAGGGGGTGGGGGTGACCCCAGGGAACTCGCCTTATATTTCATTTGATTTGTTTTATTGTCCCATACAAGAATATATATGGTTTAGGGGTGGGGATCTTGACCGTTTACAAGTTTTCAAAAAAAAGGGGGTGGGGGTGACCCCAGGGGACTCCCCCTCAATTTCATTTGATTTGTTTTATTGTCCTATTCAAGAATATATATGGTTTAGGGTTGGGGATCTCGACAGTTTACAAGCTATCAAAAAGAAGGGGGTGGGAGTGACCCCCATGGACTTCCCCTATATTTCATTTGATTTGTTTTATTGTCCCATTCAAGAATATATATGGTTTAGGGGTGGGGATCTCAACCGTTTACAAGTTCTTAAACAGGAATGGGTGGGGTGACCCCAAGGGACCCGCCTTTTCTTTCATTTGATTTGTTTTATTGTCCCATACAACAATAAATATGGTTTCTGGGTGGGGATTTTGACCATTTACAAGTTTTCAAAAAGAAGGGGGGTGGGGTGACCCCCGTTGACTTCCCCTATATTTCATTTGATTTGTGTTATTGTCCTGTACAAGAATATATATGGTTTAGGGGTGGGGATCTCGACCGTTTACAAGTTCTTAAACAGGAGGGGGTGGGGGTGACCCCAGGGGACTCGCCTTTTACTTCATTTGATTTGTTTTATTGTCCCATACAAGAATATATATGGTTTCAGGGTGGGGATCTTGACTGTTTACAAATTTTCATAAAGAAGGGGGTGGGGGTGACCCCCATGGACTTCCCCCCCATTTCATTTGATTTGTGTTATTGTCCCATACGAGAAAGATATATATGGTTTAGGGGTGGGGATCTGGACCGTTTACAAGTTCTTAAACAGGAGGGGGTGGGGGGTGACCCCAGGGGACTCGCCTTAAATTTCATTTGATTTGTTTTATTATCCCATACAAGAAGATATATGGTTTTGGGGTGGGGATCTTGACCGTTTACAAGTTTTCAAAAAGAAGGGGAATGGGGGTGAACCCGGGGTCTCCCCAAATATTTCATTTGATTTATTTTTTTGACCCATACAAGAATATATATGGTTTACGGGTGGGGATCTCAATCATTTACAAGATAAAAGCACATTCTCAAATTGAAGGGGTGGGGGTAAGAATATATATGGTTTAGGGAGACTTAATTATCTACAAAATGTCTAATAATGAGCAGTAAATTTCAAATTTCATTTATACAGTCCTTCTAGTAAATTTCAAACTTTATATACAGTCCTACAGATCTTATCAGGAAACAGAAAATTTTCAAATAAATCTGTCACTCCAATGATATTATATGCTAAGATATAACCCAGATCTAATTAATAATTAATAATGTAATTAACTTCAAAATGTCTAATAATATAGCTTATAATCATTACCACTTAGGAAATAGATAATTTTCAAATAAATCTGTCACTCCAATTTTTATTGTGAGATAAGACATTATGCTTAGTCATAAAAAAAGATAACAAGAGTAAAATATTTAAAAATTCCACTTTTGGATATTAAAAATGGCGATAACTCACAAAGGAGATATACTAAAATCTTGAAAATTGAACTAGACCTTCATTAATTCCCAGGAAACAACATATTTAAACTTGATAAAAATTTGTTAAAGCGTTTTCATGTTATTGTGCTGACACTGTTTGGCAGCCGCCCGCCGTACATCACCATTTTAATAACCGATATTTCAATCGAAAATCCGGTTAAAAATGACAAAGTTCAACTTTCTCCCAAAAGAGCAATTATTAATAAAAATCTAAACCCTGACCACATGCACACCTTCAATATATGTACAAACAGCCAGCAAAGTGAAAACTTCCTAGGATTCAAACTGTAGGAGGAGTTATGCGGAATAACTATATACCCATAATGGGACGGACGGACAGATGGAAAGACAGAAGGACAGACAGACGGACAGGGGTTAAACAATATACCCCTTGCCCCCCGAACTTTCAGTTGCTGGGGCATAGACGGAAGGACAGAAAGACAGATGGACGGACATGGGTAAAACAATATGCCCCTAAACTTTCAGTTGCGGGGGCATAAACTAGAGGCTCTCAAGAGCCTGTGTCGCTCACCTGTATTTACTGATGCTTTGGAAATCATGTAAAATAAGGTTAAAATCATAATTAATAGTATTAGATATTAGATATTATAATGATATCTAAGATAATAACAAACTAGAGGCTCTCAAGAGCCTGTGTCGCTCACCTGTATTTACTGATGCTTTGGAAATCATGTAGAATAAGGTTAAAATCATTATTAATAGTATTAGATATTAGATATTATAGTGATATCTAAGTTAATAACAAAAAACTAAAATTTCTGTAAAATTACTTACTCAGGGGCAGCAACTCAACACAGGTTGTCAGATTCGTCTGAAAATTTCAGGGCAGATAAATCTAAATCTGATGATCATTTTTGCCACCTGTCAGATTTGCTTTAAATGCTATAGTTTCAGAGATATAAACCAAAAACTGCATTTTACCCCTATGTTCTATTTTTAACCAAGTCAACCATGATGGTTGGGAGGCGGGGTCATCGGACAAATTTTTTAAACGAGATACCCTTATAATGATAATGGCCAAGTATGGTTAAATTTGTCTCAGTAGTTTCAGAGAAGAAGATTTTTGTAAAAGATTACAAAAATTTACGAAAAATTGTTAAAAATTGACTATAAAGGGCAATAACTCCTAAAGGGGTCGACTGACAATTTTGGTCATGACAACTTATTTGTAGATCTTACTTTGCTGAACATTATTGCTTTTTACAGTTTATCTCTATCTATATTAATATTCAAGATAATAACCAAAAAAACTGCAAAATTTCCTTAAAATTACCAATTCAGGGGCAGCAACCCAACAACAGGTTGTCAGATTTGTCTGAAAATTTCAGGGTAGATAGATCTTGACCTGATAATCAGTTTCACCCTATGTCAGATTTACTCTAAATGCTTTGGTTTCAGAGATACAAGCCAAAATCTACATTTTACCCCTATGTTCTATTTTTAGCCATGGCGGCCATCTTGGTCGGTTGGCGCAGTCATCGGACACATTTTTTAAACTAGATACCCTAATGATGATTGTTGCCAAGTTTAGTTAAATTTGGCCCAGTGGTTTCAGAGGAGAAGATTTTTGTAAAAAGCTAAGGACGACGACGACGGACGACGGACGACGGACACCAAGTGATGAGAAAAGCTCACTTGGCCCTTTGGGCCAGGTGAGCTAAAAACTGCAAAATTTCTGTAAAATTACTAACTCAGGGGCAGCAACCCAACAACGGGTTGTCGGATTGGTCTGAAAATTTCAGGACAGATAAATCTAAATCTGATGAACATTTTTGCTACTTGTCAGATTTGCTCTAAATGCTTTAGTTTCAGAGATATAAACCAAAAACTGCATTTTACCCCCCATGTTCTATTTTTAACCAAGTCAGCCATGATGGTTGGAAGGCGGGGTCATCGGACAAATTTTTTAAACTAGATACCCAAATAATGATTATGGCCAAGTATGGTTAAATTTGTCTCAGTAGTTTCAGAGAAGAAGATTTTTGTAGAAGATTACAAAAATTTATGAAAAATTGTTAAAAATTGACTATAAAGGGCAATAACTCCTAAAGAGGTCGACTGACAATTTTGGTCATGACGACTTATTTGTAGATCTTACTTTGCTGAATATTATTGCTGTTTCCAGTTTATCTCTATCTATAATAATATTCAAGATAATAACCAAAAACTGCAAAATTTCCTTAAAATTACCAATTCAGGGGCAGCTATCCAACAACAGTTTGTCAGATTTGTCTGAAAATTTCAGGGCAGATAGATCTTGACCTGATACTCAGTTTTTTCCTTTGTCAGATTTACTCTAAATGCTTTGGTTTCAGAGATATAAGCCAAAATCTACATTTTACCCCTATGTTCTATTTTTAGCCATGGCGGCCATCTTGGTTGGTTGGCGGGGTCATCGGACACATTTTTTAAACTACATACCCTAATGATGATTGTGGCCAACTTTGGTTAAATTTGGCCCAGAGGTTTCAGAGGAGAAGATTTTTGTAAAAAGCTAATGACGACGGAAAACGACGACGACGACGGACGACGGACGCCAAGTGATGAGAAAAGCTCACTTGGCCCTTTGGGCCAGGTGAGCTAAAAATAAGATGTAACAGCACCCACCCCCTTCTAGTCCTTATTGTCATTTTATAAGTCCTTAGTGCACTAAGAAGTCCTTAGCAGTGATAAGACATAACAGTCACTCTTACCTACTAACTTTTTTGGCAGAATAATGACCTAATTGTAGATCTTGTCTTGCTGATCATTTTTGTTATTTAAAATTTCTATCTACCTTTTTATAGTTTTCAAGATAATAAGCAAAATGCCAAAAATTGGTAAAAATCATTATTAAAGAGCAATAACTTCAATAACCAGTGGACTGAAGAATTCAGCTATTAGAATTATTTGTAGATCACTTATGCTGTTTAAAGTTTCTATCTATCTATTGTAATTTTTAAGATTTTAAGCAAAAACGCAAAAAAAAATGGTAAAAATTGTCATTAAAGGCCAACAACTCTAATAAGGAGTCGATTGACGATTTCTGCTTAATAAGACTTATTTGAAGATCTTGTCTTGCTGATCAGTTATGCTGTTGAAAATTTCTCTTTATCATAGTTTTCAAGATAATAGGCAAAATTGAAAAAAGTTGTAAAATTCATCAATTTAGGTCAATAACTCCAATAAGAAATTGTCTGACAGTTTTGACGTAAATAGATAATAGGTACAGCTCAACATTCTGAACATTTCTGCCCCCTGTCAGATTTTCTCTATTTACAGCGGTTTTCAAAATAACAGACAAAACTTACATTTTACCCCTTTAATCTATCTTTAACCATGTCGGCCATCTTGTTTGGCAGGCAGGGTCATCAGACACATTTTTAAACTAGATGCCCCAATGGCAGTAGTTTCAAAGGAGATGATCTTTGTAATAGTTAATGGACAACAATGACGACAACAGGCGACGGACGCCAAGTAATGGGTAAAACTCACATGACCCTTTGGGCCAGGTGAGCTATGGCTAAAAATCAATACTTTTAACTAGATTTACTCGAGTACTCGGGAGTATCTTGACCGAGTACTTGAGTATTTAATTTCAGATCTTTTGATAAAACTGTAGATTATTTATTACTCATAGTAACTGCAAAGGAGTACCCCAGTAAGACCTCTTTTTGGCCCAAAAATATAGCATTTCAAAAATTTGTTAAAAAGGTAAACTTTTAGCTATTTATTGGAAAGAAGAATGCTTTTGTTACATAAATATCGGCTTGTTTTGGACATTACACTGCACATGCATCATATACTAGCATCATTAACTCATGCAAAATTACTGAAATCTTCACAATTTTAGCATTTGTGCTAATTTTTAGACTGTTTTTGTTTAAAATGGAAGTGGCCGCACTTGTGTTCAGTCTTAATATTTAAATATATGTTGTATTTGGTGATGATACATAACATATATAAAGGTTGAGACTGAACACGAATATGGCCACTTCCAATTTAGACACAAGAGTGCACATGCTGAAATGTCTCGCCTGCTTTACTGATCATTGATTTTATGTTAATAGTCCTAAATATAAAGCTTTACTACAAGTATCACATAAACTTAACATGATACAAGAAAATGAGGTCAAGGTCAGATAAACCAAACCAGAAATGCATGTACACCTTACAATCATTCCATACACATAGTTGACCTATTGCTTATAGTTTCTAAGAAACAAACATAACCAGGAAAATTTTACATTGACCAATGAACCATGAAAATGAGGTCAAGGTCAGATGAACCATGCCAGACAGACATATATACCTTACAATCAATCTATGCATTAAATATAGTTGACCTATTGCTTATAGTATCTTAGAAACAAAGTTAACCATGAAAATTTAACATTGACCAATGAACCATGAAAATGAGGTCAAGGTCAGATGACACCTGCCAGATAGACATATACACCTTACAATCATTCCATACACCAAATATAGTTGACCTATTGCTTATAGTTTAAGAAAAACAGACCAAAACACAAAACTTCACACTGAGCAATGAACTGTGAAAATGAGGTCAAGGTCAAATAAAATCTGCCAGACTGACATGTACATCGTAAAATATTTCCATACACCAAATATAGTTGACCTACTGCATATAGTAATAGAAAAAAAGACCAAAACACAAAAACTTCATACATAAGGCATCTATATACAAAGTATGAAACATCCAGGTCTTCCACCTTCTAAAATATAAAGCTTTTAAGTAGTTAGTTAACGCCGCCGCCCCAGCTGCGTATCACTATCCCCATGTCAAGCTTTCTGCGACAGAAGTTGAGGCTTGACAAAAAACAAACTGAAAAGTGACCTTTTGAGGCCTACTATGGATTCATTATTATTCGTTGGATACCAATTTTCGTGGGTTTCGTGGGTACAGGTGAACCACTAATTCAAATGTTCAACGAATTACAAATGTTAATTTGGCTTTGTATGCAGAGATTGGCAAAACCACGAAAGCAAATATCCACGAAAATGCAAGTGTTCCTCAATCCACGAAAATTGATACCCACGAAAATAAATGAATCCACAGTATTTGATTTTTCATATTTAATTATATTTAGGCGTCTTAATTTACCAAATCAGTTCATGTCTTTTACATAAACTAGTAAAATGAAGAATACACTGAAGTGTTTAAAAAATGTCAAAAATCTTTCAATAAATGTACTTCAAATTTTGGGCCAAAATGAGCCCTTACCTTCAAGTCTCCTTTAAGTTTTAAACAACTTTTCAGATAAAGATTGATCAATGTCCGGTACTTTATAGTTTACCTGCCAGGCCAACAGGTTAATCTTAGCTGTCAATCAACCAATTAACATTCATGGTAATAACTATTTTGGTGAGGGGTATAAATGGAAGTTTTTAATGACCTTGAGTGTCTATACAGCCCTTGCACAGTCGGTAAGGTGAGGGGTATTCAATTAGGTTTTTTTTATATAGCAATTACTCTTCCTGTCACTTTCATGATTTATGACTCTGAAAGTATGTATGTCATAGTGAAAACATCAAGTAAAAAAGATGGCTTATCTTTATTCTGAATTATATTAAAGAGGCAAATCTACATTTTATGTTCACTTTAAGCTGTTAACCAGCAAATTAAAAGTAAATTTTATAAGTCATGACCAGGAAATATGACCGTTTTGGAAGCAATGTTCATGACACTGATGCCATTACAATTTGAAAATAGCATATTTTGGACTGCATTTATAGATAGATTGATTGGTTTTGTATGCCACTTTCAGCATTATTGGCTCTTTTTGTGGTGGTCAGTTTATTGGTGGAGGAAGCTGGAGTGCCTGGAGGGAATGCTAGGTAGGAAAACTGACAATCCTAGACAATTCAGATTGGAGTTAAATGCATCTGCCACATGCCTGATTCAAACTCACAACCTCGGTGTTGACAGTCGCTGGACTACTTAGACCACTTGGCTACCAAGGCCGCTGATTATATTTATATATGAAAACAGAGATCTGTTGGTTAAGTTATGAAAAGCTACAAAATTATACCTATGGAGTTGTAGAGCTATTTCAGTTATAAAGTTATCAGGGCAATCCACCAATTCTGTCTGTTCTTTTAGACGATTTTCTAATTCTTCCAGAGACATAAACTGGGATGCTTGTTGTTTTTCTTTCGTCAAATTTGTTGCAACATCATCATCTGAATCGTCTCTCTCTTGAGCTTTTACCCTCTTTTTGGTTGACCTGGTTTTAACTTCCCTACCTTGAGTTCCACCACCACTTTTTGAAACACCTTAAAAGTAATAAACCCAACTTAATTCAATTAGTCAATAGAATGATCACAATGAAATGCCTTACCTGCAAACAATAGTGTCAATATTTTTCTAACAAACATTTAATAAAGTCAAACATGTATATAAAGGTATACATCTGGACCAGAAAATAATGGGGTTTTTTCCCCATTATAACTGGATTTTCCTTTTTCTTTTTCTATATTTACACTTCTTGTACATGTATAACCAGTTAGGTTAGGATTCTAATTACAAGTCATTGGGTTAGAAATGACTTCACAATAATTTTTGGAAAAAATGTAGTTTCTTATGAAATATACGGCAAAATTTGAAAGTGTCAAACAAAAAGTTATTGCATAACACTGTACTATAGTTTCTGCAGTAATATTTGTAAGGAGCTGAATCACATTTTCAATCATGTAACTGATTTTGATGAATTTGTCCTGCAGATCAGTTTTGCTACTTACAGTTTCTCTCTATCTGTTCTAGTTTTCAAGTTGATAGCCAAAATCATATAATAAAATGATCTGCAGGGTGCACTTTAATTCAACTGCAAAGGTCAAACCCTGAACAGTTGGGACAAGTATGGACAAAACATTCAAGATTGATACTGTTCTGAATTTGTATTGTGATTAAATATCTGACACAGCATAGGTTTCTGACACAGAATGAATGTGGTCTAAGAACTTAAAAAGTTGAAATTAGACATTTACTTATAATGGTCCAATATCCAAAATCTAAATACATAGTTAGATTCAGCATATCAAAGAACCCCAAGAATTCAATTTTTTTTATGAAATCAAACAAAGTTTAGTTTTGGACCCTTTGGACCTCAATGTAGACCAATTTGATAATAGGACCCCAAATCCAAAATCTAAATATATGGTTAGATTCAGCATATCAAATAACGCCATATATTCATTTTTTGTTGAAATCAAACAAAGTTTAATTTTGGAACCCGATTTGGACCAACTTGAAAACTAAGCCCAAAATTAATAAAATGCTTCGCTGGGTGCAGCTTGATACGACCGCAGAGGTCAAACCCTGAACAGTTGGGGCAAGTATGGACACAACATTCAAGCTTGATACAGCTCTGAATTTGGATTGTGATTAAATATCTGACACAGCATAGGTTGTGACACAGAAAGAATGTGGTCTAAGAATTTGAATTTTTTTAATTTACCTATTATGGTCCAATGTCCAAAATCAAAATACATGGTTAGATTCAGCATATCAAAGAACCCCATATATTCAATTTTTGTTGAAATAAAAAAAAGTTTAATTTTGGACCCCAACTTGGACAAACTTGAAAACTAAGCCCATAATAAAAAATCTAAACACATGTTTAGATTCAGCATATCAAAGAACCCCAAGAATTCAATTTTTGTTAAAATCAAACTAAGTTTAATTTTGGACCCTTTGGACCTTAATGTAGACCAATTTAAAAAACGGGACCCAAAATAAAAAATCTAAATACACTGTTAGATTTGGATTATCAAAGAACCCCAATAATTCAATTTTTGATGAAATCAAACAAAGTTTAATTTTGGACCCTTTTGACCTCAATATGAACTAATTTGATAGCGGGGCCCACAAATAAAAAATCTAAATACATAGTTAGATTCAGCATATCAAAGAACCCCATATATTCAATTTTTGTTGAAATAAAAAAAAAGTTTAATTTTGGACCCCAACTTGGACCAACCTTGAAAACTGGGCCCATTATCAAAAATATAAACACATGTTTAGATTCAGGATATCAAAGAACCCCAAGAATTCAATTTTTGTTAAAATCAAACTAAGTTTAATTTTGGACCCTTTGGACCTTAATGTAGACCAATTTAAAAAACGGGACCCAAAATTAAAAATCTAAAAACACGGTTAGATTTGGCATATCAAAGAACCCCAATAATTCAATTTTTGATGAAATCAAACAAAGTTTAATTTTGGACCCTTTTGACCTCAATATGAACCAATTTGATAGCGGGGCCCACAAATAAAAAATCTAAATACATGGTTAGATTCAGCATATCAAAGAACCCCATATATTCAATTTTTGTTGAAATCAAACAAAGTTTAATTTTGGACCCCAATTTGGACCATCTTGAAAACTGGGCCAAAAATCTAAAATCTAAATACATGTTTAGATTCAGCATATCAAAGAACCCCATATATTCAATTTTTGTTGAAATCAAACAAAGTTTAATTTTGGACCCCAACTGGGACAAACTTGAAAACTGGGCCCATAATCAAAAATCTAAACACATGTTAAGATTCAGCATATCAAAGAACCCCAAGAATTCAGTTTTTGTTGAAATCAAACTAAGTTTAATTTTGGACCCTTTGGACCTTAATGTAGACCAATTTAAAAAACAGGACCCAAAATTAAAAATCTAAATACACGGTTAGATTTGGCATATCAAAGAACCCCAACAATTCAATTTTTGATGAAATCAAACGAAGTTTAATTTTGGACCCTTTTGACCTCAATATGAACCAATTTGATAGCGGGGCCCACAAATAAAAAATCTAAATACATGGGTAGATTCAGCATATCAAAGAACCCCATATATTCAATTTTTGTTGAAATCAAACAAAGTTTAATTTTGGACCCCAATTTGGACCAACTTGAAAACTGGGCCCAAAATCAAAAATCTAAATACATGTTTAGATTCAGCATATCAAAGAACCCCATATATTCAGTTTTTGTTAAAATCAAACAAAGTTTAATTTTGGACCCTTTGGACCTTAATGTAGACCAATTTGAAAACTGGACCCAAAATTAAATATCTGAATACACAATTAGATTCGGCATAACAAATAAATAAATGTGGTCAAAGATTTTACAAATCTAATGCGCCATACTGTGCAATTAAAGATTACTTCTTGAAATTTTTCAATATTTGAAATTTGAAAAAAAAATAATATTTGAAGAATAATTCTTTTTAATTTCTGAAATCTGAAATGAGAAAAAATTGACCCCCCACAATTTCTTTTTACACCCCCCCCCCCCCCCCAAAAAAAATTCTTTCCCTCAAGATATGGTCATAATCTCAATTCAAATTTCCAATGGACTTTGCAACCATAATTACCCATTTAAATTTACCATAGTGCTAACTTAATCTATTTTATAATAGAATTCAAAATATAGTGTCAAATCTTTCATATGGATTTTTTTGTAAAAAAAAAAGTTGCAACATTTGCAGATATTTTTACTGGTCTTCCTTTATAAATATGCATTTCTTTAAACATAATTTAAAAGCAGTGTAAGGGAAGTAACCAAAACGTATTTGGATTACCTCCCTTACACTGTTTTAAATTATCTTAATTGTTCATTAACCATTACTTTATACATAATTTAAAAGCAGTGTAAGGGAGGTAATTTCAATGATGTATTTGATTTATCTCCCTTACACTGCTTTAAATTATGTTTTGTACTAAAGTATTTGTCCATTAACCAGGACAACCTTGTTTTTCCCCCTTTTTTGCCCCTAATTCCTAAACGGTTTGAGCCATAACCCCCCAAAGCAAATCCTAACCATCCCTTTGTGGTATGGAAACTTGTAGTATAATTTCAGAGAGATCCATACACCGTTCCTCAGTTATTGTCTGGAAACTAGAAAATGCTTATTTTTGGCCCCTAATTCCTTAACTGTTGGTACCATAACCCCCAAAAACAATCCCAACCTTCCTTTTGTGGTATTGAACCTTATGGTAAAATTTCATAGAGATCCATTCACTTTAACTAAAGTTAGAGTGCGAAAACCAATGTGTCTTCGGACGACGACGACAACGACGACGACGACGCCAACGTCATACCAATATACGACAACAAAATTTTTTTGCTGTCGTATAAAAATCTAAATACATGTTTAGATTCAGCATATCAAAAAACCCCAAGAGTTAAATTTTTTTTATAATTCAAACAAAGTTAAATTTTGGACCCATTTGGACCTTAATGTTGACTAATTTGAAAACCGGGCCCAATATGAAATATCTAAATACACAGTAAGATTTGGCATATCAAAGAGCCCCAATAATTCAATTTTTGATGAAATCAAACAAAGTTTAATTTTGGACCCTTTGGACCTCAATGTGAACCAATTTGAAAACAGGGCCCAAAATCCAAAATCGAAATACATGGTTAGATTCAGCATATTAAAGAACACCAAGAATTCAAGACTTTGAATTAAACCCCATTGAAATTGGTCAAGAAATAAGCAATTTACAAAATATTAGAAAAGAATTGTTTTTGTCCCCTAATTCCTCCTAAATGGTTAGGGCCATAACCCCCAGAATCACAAAATCATTCCTGACCTTCCTTTTTTGGTATGGAACCTTAGATGCAATTTCATAGAGATCAGTAGTCTTATACTAAAATTATTGTCTGGAAACCAAAAAATCCTTGTTTGTTGGCCCCTAATTCCTTAACGGTTTGGGCCATAATCCCCAAAATCAATCCCAACCTTCCTTTTGTGTTATGGAATCATGTGGTACAATCTTGAAGAGATCCCTACACTTATATTAAGCTTAAACAGTTGTGCTGATTAAAAGATCAGAGGACCATAGAAATAAGGTGTTAAGACTATGGACTTCTGTGATGTTTGCAAACTAGAGGCTCTCAAGAGCATGTGTCGCTCACCTGTATATACTGATGCTTTGGAAATCATGTAAAATAAAGTTAAAATCATAATTAATAGTATTATATAGGTATTAGATATTATAATGATATCTAAGATAATAACAAACAAGAGGCTCTCAAGAGCCTGTGTCGCTCACCTGTATTTACCGATGCTTTGGAAATCATGTAAAATAAGGTTAAAATCATAATTAATAGTACATGTATTAGATATTAGATATTATAATGATATCTAAGATAATAACAAAAAACTGCAAAATTTTTGTAAAATTACTAACTCAGGGGCAGCAACCCAACAACGGGTTGTCGGATTCGTCTGAAAATTTCAGGGCAGATAAATCCAAATCTGATGAACTTTTTTGCCACCTGTCAGATTTGCTCTAAATGCTTTAGTTTCAGAGATATAAACCAAAAACTGCATTTTACCCCAATGTTCTATTTTAACCAAGTCGGCCATGATGGTTGGAAGGCGGGGTCATCGGACAAATTTTTTAAAGTAGATACCCTAATAATGATTATGGCCAAGTATGGTTATATTTGTCTCAGTAGTTTCAGAGAAGAAGATTTTTGTAAAAGATTACAAAAATTTACAAAAAATTGTTAAAAATTGACTATTTAGGGCAATAACTCCTAAAGGGGTCGACTGACAATTTTGGTCATGACAACTTATTTGTAGATCTTACTTTGCTGAACATTATTGCTGTTTACAGTTTATCTCTATCTATAATAATATTCAAGATAATAACCAAAAACTGCAAAATTTCCTTAAAATTACCAATTCAGGGGCAGCAACCCAACAACCAGTTGTCAGATTTGTCTGAAAATTTCAGAGCAGATAGATCTTGACCTGATAATCAGTTTTACCCTATGTCAGATTTACTCTAAATGCTTTGGTTTCAGAGATATAAGCCAAAATCTACATTTTACCCCTATGTTCTATTTTTAGCCATGGCGGCCATCTTGGTTGGTTGGGTGGGTCATCGGACACATTTTTTAAACTAGATACCCTAACAATGATTGTAGCCAAGTTTGGTTAAATTTGGCCCAGTGGTTTCAGAGGAGATTTTTTTTGTAAAAAGCTAACGACGACGGACGACGACGACGACGGATGACGGACGCCAAGTGATGAGAAAAGCTCACTTGGCCCTTCGGGCCAGGTGACCTAAAAACTGCAAAATTTTTTAAAATTACTAATTCAGGGGCAGCAACCCAACAAGGGGTTGTCGGATTCGTCTGAAAATTTCAGGGCAGATAAATCTAAATCTGAAGAACATTTTTGCCACCTGTCAGATTTGCTCTAAATGCTTTAGTTTCAGAGATATAAACCAAAAACTGCATTTTACCTGTATGTTCTATTTTTAACCAAGTTGGCCATGATGGTTGGAAGGAGGGGTCATCGGACAAATTTTTTGAACTAAATACCCTAATAATGATTATGGCCAAGTATGGTTAAATTTGTCTCAGTAGTTTCAGAGAAGAAGATTTTTGGAAAAGATTACAAAAATTTACGAAAAATTGTTAAAAATTGATTATTAAGGGCAATAACTCCTAAAGGGGTCGACTGACAATTTTGGTCATGACAACTTATTTGTAGATCTTACTTTGCTGAACATTATTGCTGTTTACAGTTTATCTCTATCTATAATAATATTCAAGATAATAACCAAAAACTGCAAAATTTCCTTAAAATTACCAATTCAGGGGCAGCAACCAAACAACAGGTTGTCAGATTTGTCTGAAAATTTCAGGGCAGATAGATCTTAACCTGATAATCAGTTTTACCCTGTGTCAGATTTACTCTAAATGCTTTGGCTTCAGAGATATAAGCCAAAATCTACATTTTACCCCTATGTTCAATTTTTAGCCATGGTGGCCATCTTGGTTGGTTGGCAGGGTCATCGGACACATTTTTTAAACTAGATACCCTAATGATGATTGTGGCCAAGTTTGGTTAAATTTGGCCAGTGGTTTCAGAGGAGAAGATTTTTGTAAAAAGCTAACGACGACGCCCACGGACGATAGGCGACGGACGCTAAGTGATGAGAAAAAGGGCCAAGTGAGCTAAACTAGAGGCTCTAAAGAGCCTGTGTCGCTCACCTTGGTCTATGTGAATATTAAATAAAGGACGCAGATGGATTCATGACAAAATTGTGTTTTGGTGATGGTAATGTGTTTGTACATCTTAATTTACTGAACATTTTTCCTGCTTACAATTATCTCTATCTATAATTAACTTGGCCCAGTAGTTTCAGAGGAGAAGATTTTTGTAAAAGATTACTAAGATTTACGAAAAAATGGTTAAAAATTGACTATAAAGGGCAATAACTCCTAAAGGGGTCAACTGACAATTTCGGTCATGTTGACTTATTTGTAGATCTTACTTTGCCGACATTTATTGTTTTTTACAGTTTATCTCTATCTATAATAATATTCAAGATAATAACCAAAAACAGCAAAATTACCTTAAAATTACCAATTCAGGGGCAGCAACCCAACAACAGATTGTCCGATTCATCTGAAAATTTCAGGGCAGATAGATCTTGACCTGATAAACAATTTTACTTCATGTCAGATTTGCTTTAAATGCTTTGGTTTTTGAGTTAAAAGCCAAAAACTGAATTTTACCTCTATGTTCTATTTTTAGCCGTGGCGGCCATCTTGGTTGGTTGACCAGGTCACGCCACACATTTTTAAAACTAGATAACCAAATGATGATTGTGGCCAAGTTTGGTTTAATTTGGCCACGTAGTTTCAGAGGAGAAGATTTTTGTAAAAGATTACTAAGATTTACGAAAAATTGTTAAAAATTGACTATAAAGGGCAATAACTCCTAAACGGGTCAACTGACCATTTCAGTCATGTTGACTTATTTGTTAATCTTACTTTGCTGAACATTATTGCTGTTTACAGTTTATCTCTATCTATAATAATATTCAAGATAATAACCAAAAACAGCAAAATTTCCTTAAAATTACCAATTCAGGGGCAGCAACCCAACAACAGGTTGTTCGATTCATCTGAAAATTTCAGGGCAGATAGATCTTGACCTGATAAACAATTTTACTTCATGTCAGATTTGCTCTAAATGCTTTGGTTTTTGAGTTATAAGCCAAAAACTGCATTTTACCCCTATGTTTTATTTTTGGCTGTGGCCGCCATCTTGGTTGGTTGGCCGGGTCACGCCACACATTTTTTAAACTAGATACCCCAATGATGATTGTGGCCAAGTTTGGTTTAGTTTGGCCCAGTTGTTTCAGAGGAGAAGATTTTTGTAAAAGATAACTAAGATTTACGAAAAATGGTTAAAAATTGACTATAAAGGGCAATTACTCCTAAAGGGGTCAACTGACCATTTCGGTTATATTGACTTATTTGTAAATCTTACTTTGCTGAACATTATTGCTGTTTACAGTTTATCTCTATCTATAATAATATTCAAGATAATAACCAAAAACAGCAAAATTTCCTTAAAATTACCAATTCAGGGGCAGCAACCCAATAACGGGTTGTCCGATTCATCTGAAAATTTCAGGGCAGATAGATCTTAACCTGATAATCAGTTTTACCCTGTGTCAGATTTACTCTAAATGCTTTGGCTTCAGAGATATAAGCCAAAATCTACATTTTACCCCTATGTTCAATTTTTAGCCATGGTGGCCATCTTGGTTGGTTGGCAGGGTCATCGGACACATTTTTTAAACTAGATACCCTAATGATGATTGTGGCCAAGTTTGGTTAAATTTGGCCAGTGGTTTCAGAGGAGAAGATTTTTGTAAAAAGCTAACGACGACGCCCACGGACGATAGGCGACGGACGCTAAGTGATGAGAAAAAGGGCCAAGTGAGCTAAACTAGAGGCTCTAAAGAGCCTGTGTCGCTCACCTTGGTCTATGTGAATATTAAATAAAGGACGCAGATGGATTCATGACAAAATTGTGTTTTGGTGATGGTAATGTGTTTGTACATCTTAATTTACTGAACATTTTTCCTGCTTACAATTATCTCTATCTATAATTAACTTGGCCCAGTAGTTTCAGAGGAGAAGATTTTTGTAAAAGATTACTAAGATTTACGAAAAAATGGTTAAAAATTGACTATAAAGGGCAATAACTCCTAAAGGGGTCAACTGACAATTTCGGTCATGTTGACTTATTTGTAGATCTTACTTTGCCGACATTTATTGTTTTTTACAGTTTATCTCTATCTATAATAATATTCAAGATAATAACCAAAAACAGCAAAATTACCTTAAAATTACCAATTCAGGGGCAGCAACCCAACAACAGATTGTCCGATTCATCTGAAAATTTCAGGGCAGATAGATCTTGACCTGATAAACAATTTTACTTCATGTCAGATTTGCTTTAAATGCTTTGGTTTTTGAGTTAAAAGCCAAAAACTGAATTTTACCTCTATGTTCTATTTTTAGCCGTGGCGGCCATCTTGGTTGGTTGACCAGGTCACGCCACACATTTTTAAAACTAGATAACCAAATGATGATTGTGGCCAAGTTTGGTTTAATTTGGCCACGTAGTTTCAGAGGAGAAGATTTTTGTAAAAGATTACTAAGATTTACGAAAAATTGTTAAAAATTGACTATAAAGGGCAATAACTCCTAAACGGGTCAACTGACCATTTCAGTCATGTTGACTTATTTGTTAATCTTACTTTGCTGAACATTATTGCTGTTTACAGTTTATCTCTATCTATAATAATATTCAAGATAATAACCAAAAACAGCAAAATTTCCTTAAAATTACCAATTCAGGGGCAGCAACCCAACAACAGGTTGTTCGATTCATCTGAAAATTTCAGGGCAGATAGATCTTGACCTGATAAACAATTTTACTTCATGTCAGATTTGCTCTAAATGCTTTGGTTTTTGAGTTATAAGCCAAAAACTGCATTTTACCCCTATGTTTTATTTTTGGCTGTGGCCGCCATCTTGGTTGGTTGGCCGGGTCACGCCACACATTTTTTAAACTAGATACCCCAATGATGATTGTGGCCAAGTTTGGTTTAGTTTGGCCCAGTTGTTTCAGAGGAGAAGATTTTTGTAAAAGATAACTAAGATTTACGAAAAATGGTTAAAAATTGACTATAAAGGGCAATTACTCCTAAAGGGGTCAACTGACCATTTCGGTTATATTGACTTATTTGTAAATCTTACTTTGCTGAACATTATTGCTGTTTACAGTTTATCTCTATCTATAATAATATTCAAGATAATAACCAAAAACAGCAAAATTTCCTTAAAATTACCAATTCAGGGGCAGCAACCCAATAACGGGTTGTCCGATTCATCTGAAAATTTCAGGGCAGATAGATCTTGACCTGATGAACAATTTTACCTCCGTCAGATTTGCTCTTAATGCTTTGGTTTTTGAGTTATAAGCTAAAAACTGCATTTTACCCCTATGTTCTATTTTTAGCCGTGGCGGCCATCTTGGTTGGTTGACCAGGTCACGCCACACATTTTTAAAACTAGATACCCCAATGATGATTGTGGCCAAGTTTGGTTAAATTTGGCCCAGTAGTTTCAGAGGAGAAGATTTTTGTAAAAGTTTACAGACGACGGACGACGGACGACGGACGACGGACGCAGGACGACGGACGACGGACGCAAAGTGATGAGAAAAGCTCACTTGACCTTTCAGGTCAGGTGAGCTAAAAAGCATTTCCAGAGATCTTTTTGTGTGAAAATAGGGATTTTGAACCTCGTAAAACCACACCACAAAGGGATTTTCAGAGTATGAAAGCTTTAATCTCTTTTTCGTACTCCTGAAAATTTAACTCCCATAAGGAGCCAAATGACGATTAAAAACGTTGAATTATTTGAATATCTTGCCTTGTTGATCATATTTGCTATTTTAATTTTTTTTCTGACTTTTATAATAGTTTTCAAGATAATAGGGAAAACACAAAACAAAAACTTGGTAAAAATCATCATTAGAGGACTATAACTCCTGTAATGAGTGGTCTGACAATTATGGTTGCAAAAGACAGTATGCAGATCTTGACATTCTGAAAATTTTTACCATGTCAAATCATCTGAAACTAGACACCCTAAGGATGATTCTGTCTGAGTTTGTTTAGAAAATTATGTGTGCAATTGATACACAAAAATTTGAAACTCCCAATTTTTGAGAGAGAAAAACAACATCATAAAAATTTCAAAATTTACAGTAATGTGCCCCCGCCATGAAGATAGGAGCATTAAAATTTTAATAAAATGTTAACACAGAGATATGTCTCGCCTTTTTTGTAATTTTGATAATGCAAATGTTGAAATTAAAATAGCAATACTTTAACATGTAAGTTATGCAAATATTCAAAGTCAATGAACCATGACTGAAGGTATATAGCTAAACAATCTCCATGGAAATGAGATGTGCCAATGCAAATACCACTGCATACCAAATACCATTGACTTATCATAAGTCATTCCATTTAAACAAACCTAAACACAAACATTAACTTGTAAACTATGTAAAAGTTTCAAAGTCAATGAATCATGACTGAGAGGGCAGGGCAAAATATTCTCCATGGATATATGTGGTAATGCTTGTACAACTGCATACCAATTGGCCTTCCACTAATGGTTCTCCTTAAACTGACCTAATCACAAACTAATACATGTAAACTAAGCCCAAAGTTTCAAAGTCAATAGACCATGACTGAGGGGCGTGGGGCCAAAAAATCTCCATGGAAATGAGATGTGCCAATGCTTATACAACTGCATACCAATTAACATTGGCCTACCACTAATGGTTCCCTTTAAACTGACCTAATCACAAACTAATACATGTAAACTAAGACAAAGTTTCAAAGTCAATAGACCATGACTGAGGAGGCATGGCCAAATAATCTCCATTGAAATGAAATGTGCCAATGCTTATACAAATGCAAACCAAATATCATTGACCTACCACTAGTGGTTCCCCATAAACTGACCTAATAACAAACTAATATATGTAAACTAAGCCAAAGTTTCAAAGTCAATAAACCATGACTTACGGGGCCGGGGCCAAATAATCTCCATGGAAATGAGATGTGCCAATGCTAATACAACTGCATACCAAATATCATTGACCTACCACTAATGGTTCACCATAAACTAGACCTAATCACAAACTAATACATTTGATGACGCCGCCGTTGCACCGCTGGAAACAGCATACCTATGTCTCGCTTTTTTTCTCAGTCAAGGCAAGACAAAAATTGCAGAATTTGCTGTATATTTTCAAGCGGAAGCATATGTGTTCCATGAACACATTCTTTATTTATCAAAATTTAAATGTGATAAGTTTTGGGATCTTTAAATTTTCATCCAACTATTCAAATAGTTAATCTTGTTTCATGATAGTTTCAGAATTGAATCTAATCTGTTATCTATTTCACAAAAATACCATTGAAATCAATTGAGTATTTACAAGGAAAACCAGAAAAACACATTTTTTTGTTTGTTTTGTTGCTGGATTAGATGAAGTCATAAGGCTATGAAGCTTTAATTCCCCTCTGAAACTAAACAATAATTGAAACATTATGTATGTACCTGCAGCTTTTTTTCTTCTCTGATCCTTTCTATCCTCTTTTCCACTGTTGTCTATCATTGACAATTTCCCACTTATTTTTGACACTTCATTGGAGAATAAGGAAGGATTGTTTCTTACATCCTAAAAAGAGATTTCAGATTTTTTTATATGTGATCAGCTTCAAATTAAAACTACAGGCATCTTCAATGATTGACACTCTCCAACACAGTAGACTAGAAAAGAATTCATGACAAAAATCTCTTTCTTGTTGATCTTGGTTTGCTGATCATTTTTTCTGTTTACAATTTCTCTATAGCTTCTTTAGTTTTTGCCCAAAACACAAAAAAGGGTAAAAAAAATTATAATTTAAGGGCAATCACTCCTTCAAAAGTCTACTAATTATTTCTGCAGATCTTACTTTGCTGTACATTATTGCTGTTTACAGTTTATCTCTATCTATAATAATATTCAAGATAATAACCAAAAGCTGCAAAATTTTCTTAAATTCTTAAAATTACCAATTCTGGGGCAGCAACCCAACAACATGATGCCTAATTGGTCTGAAAATTTCAGGGCAGATAGATCTTGACCTAATGAACAATTTTATCCTGTCAGATTTGCTTTAAATGCTTTGGTTTCAGAGATATGAGCCAAAAACTGCATTTTACCTTATGTGCTATTTTTTAGCCATGTCGGCCATCTTGTTTCGCGGGCGGGGTCATCGGACACATTTTTTAAACTAGATACCCTAATGATGATTGTGGACAAGTTTGGTTAAATTTGTCTCATTAGTTTCAGAGGAGAAGATTTTTATAAAAGATTACAAAAATTTACGAAAAATGGTTAAAAATTGACTATAAAGGGCAATAACTCCTTAAGGGGTCAAATGACCATTTTGGTCAAGTTGACTTATTTGTAGATCTTACTTTGCTGAACATTATTGCTGTTTACAGTTTATCTCTATCTATAATAATATTCAAGATAATAACCAAAAACAGCAAAATTTCCTTAAAATTACCAATTCAGAGGCAGCAACCCAACAACGGGTTGTCAGATTGATCTGAAAATTTTAGGGCAGATAGATCTTGACCTGATAAACAATTTAACCCCCATGTTAGATTTGCTCTAAATGCTTTGGTTTCAGAGATATAAGCCAAAACCTACATTTTATCCCTATGTTCTATTTTTAGCCATGGCAGCCATCTTGGTTGGTTGGCCGGTTCACCATACACATTTTTTAAACTAGATACCCCAATGATGATTGTGGCCAAGTTTGGTCAAATTTGGCCCAGTAGTTTCAGAGGAGAAGATTTTTGTAAAAGTTTACGGACGACGGACACAGGAAGCAGGACGACGGACGCCAAGTGATGAGAAAAATGGTAGATTCCAGCGCTCTTAATTTGAATAAAACATTTGAAATAGTTAATATATGTGGAGAAATAAGTCGATGATACGGTTTTCAATGGAAACTGAAAGGAGTGGAACAGGAGAAATTCACACATTCACCTCCTTTTGCGTAATCTCTGTTACAAGTGGGTTCGATTTTCATTTTTACCTCTATACTGAACACATATATTTTTCTTTGTGATTATATTTTGGTTTTTAAAAACATGAAAATCAATTTTCATTGTTAAAAGTAGAAATGACAATTTTGTGCGAAAAAAAGGTGACCGCTGACCGCTTTAGACAGGTGACAGCTGAAATGACTTAAATTATATAGAAAAAACTTTTGGGAGGGTCTGAAAGTGACATTTAGAGGCAGATGACCGATGAAAAAAGGTGACCGTAAAGGCAGGTTTGACTGTAATTTGGAGATCTTGCTTGCTGATCATTTATGTTATCTTATGTTTCTATCTATCATTTATAGTTTTTAAGATAATAGGCAAAAACACCAAAAATTGGTAAAATTGTCATTAACGAGCAAAAGCTCCAAAAAGATGTCGATGCCTCTGACCTTGTTGACTTAATTGTAGATCTTATCTTGCTGATCATTTTTGTTATTTAAAAAGTCTTCCTATTTATTATAGTTTTCAAGATAATAGGCACAAGAGTGCACACACTGAAATGTCTCGCCTTCTTTACTAATCTTTGATATTATGTTGATAGACCTAAATATAAAGCTTTATTACAACATAAGAAAAACAGACTAAAACACAAAACTTAACTATAACCACTGAACCATGAAAAAGAGGTCAAGGTCAGATGACACCTGCCAGTTGGACATGTACACCTTACAGTCCTTCCATACACCGAATATACTAGACCTATTGCTTATAGTATCTGAGATATGGACTTGACCACCAAAACTTCACCTTGTTAACTGATCCATGAAATGAGGTCGAGATTAAGTGAAAACTGTCTGACGGGCATGAGGACCTGCAAGGTACGCACATACCAAATATAGTTATCCTATTACTTATAATAAGAGAGAATTTAACATTACAAAAAATCTTAACTTTTTTTTCAAGTAGTCACTGAACCATGAAAATGAGGTCAAGGACATTTGACTTGTGACTGACGGAAACTTCGTAACATGAGGCATCCATATACAAAGTATGAAGCATCCAGACCTTCCACCTTCTAAAATATAAAGCTTTTAAGAAGTTAGCTAACGCCTCCGCCGCCGCCGGATCACTATCCCTATGTCGAGCTTTCTGCGACAAAAGTCGCAGGCTTGACAAAAACCACTTAAAATTGGTAAAAATTCAAGAGCAAGAGTTCCAATATAAATGAGTCTCATTGATATATATCCAATATGAATATAATATTAATATAGATAAAGGGTATTGTTTTATAAATGTCATGAAGCAAAATGATGCAATTTTGCATTTCATTAAAGCACATATAGAATTCAAGGGAGGTATTATTTGAAGATCTAAATTCAACATAAAAGATGTTTTTAATGAAGTTGCCCTTATTTGTAATTATTACCAATTCTTTTATAGAAACATTTCACGATTTTTGTAATAGAAGTACATATACTCAGATATTGCAACACATTCACCTTTTCTCTCAATATTAGATGGTCTCATACCAGCTGCATCTAATCATCCTGAACATGCATGAAATATTTGCCACGGGATGTTAAGCAACCAACAATCAATCAATCGACCAGCTGCACAATGTGTTAAAGCTACTCAAATGACTAAAGATAGATGAAACACAAAACTAGAGGCTCTAAAGAGCCTTTGTAGCTCAACTATGTCTCTGTGCATCGTTAACAATGGACACTCTCCAACATTGTAGATTATACCTGTCAACCCAACCGTTTTGAGCGGGAGTCTCCAGTGCAAACAACGAAATTCCCCAAATCTCCCGCTTGCCAATCCACTCCCGCGCAGGAGTATAAAATCTTCTAAGATATTTTGACCTGGAATAACACGCGTTCGTAATTCTTTGGCTTTTTAATTACTTTCAATAGAAATAAATATACAATCAGTGATCATTTGAAAACTTTGGTCAGTAGTTTTTATGTTCGATATATAAGTAATCGAAATTCAGTTCTGCTATGTCAACTCCAACAAGATAGAGGTCTTTGTCTGGACCAAGCGGCAGTGTAAAAAAGAAGAAATAGATAACTGCAAATCGAAATGTCAAGCAGATAACTTGAATGAAAGATTTTCAATTTTTACGTCCAAGTTCATTTGGCAATGAATCTTTTTGCACATCATGTTCAATCAACTTTTCTATTTCTTCTGGAGGTCTGTAAGATGTTTGAAATAGATAAAAGAAGATGTGGTATGAGTGCCAATGAGACAACTCTCCATCCAAGTCAGAATTTATAAAAGTAAACCATTATAGGTCAAAGTACGGTCTTCAACACGGAGCCTTGGCTCACACCGAACAGCAAGCTATAAAGGGCCCCAAAAATTACTAGTGTAAAACCATTCAAACGGGAAAACCAACGGTCTAATCTATATAAAAAACAAGAAACGAGAAACACTTATGAACCAAATCAACAAACGACAACTACTGAACATCAGATTCCTGACTTAGGACAGGTGCAAACAATTGCAGCGGGTTTAAATGTTTTAATGGTACCAAACCTTCACCTTGATCTGAAACAATAGTGTAAAATCACAACATAGAAAGCATGCTTAGTGTGAGACTCACAACAAAATCAAAATATGGAATGTTATGAGTTATGAGACTCGGAGGTATTGAAAAAGGCTTAAAAAACACTGTCTTGTATAGATTATAACCATGAATTGAAGAAATAAAGTATATATATTAACTCTTGGTGTTTTGGTGTTTTGTAGATGAATACGAAATAGCTGAGGGGAGATCTCCCTCCTTGACAGTTTCAGAGGTTGGCAGGTATGTTGTTGATTAGAATATAATTCATGACTAAAATCTCTTTGTTGTTGATCTTGTATTGCTGATAATTTTTTTTGTGTACAGTTTCTCTCTATCATCTATAGTTTTTGTCCAAAACACAAAAATGGTAAAAAAAATATTGTCATTTAAGGGCAATAACTCCTATAAGAAAACAACTGACAATTGCATCTAAGCTGATCGATTTGCAGATCTTGCCTTGCTGATTATTTTTGTTTTTTGAAGTTTCTATCTATCTATCATAGTTTTTAAGTTAATGTGCAAAAATTCAAAATAAAGAGCTGTTCCATGAGCACATGATACGCCCGTCACTTTTTCATAAGTTCCATAACTCCTCAATGTCATATCAGAATTTTGTAAAAAACTAAAGGGAGGTTATTTTCATAGATATAAAACAGACACCAAAATTTAATGAAACTGTTCAAAGCAGTTTTGAGTTATTGTCCGCAAACTTGAAAATCCCCCCTTTTTTATGAATAAAATCCCATAACTCGGAAACGTAAAACTAAAATTTATAAAAATCCAAAGGGAGCTTATGTCAATAGATAAAAACAATTCACCAAAGATTCACAGAAACCGCTCAAAGCATTTCTGAGTTATTGTCCGAAAACTGGAAAATACCCACTTTTAATTGAATAAAACCCCATAATTTGGAAACATCAAATCTAAAATTTATAAAAATAGAAAGGGACCTCACGTCAATAGATATAAACAATTCACCAAAGTTTCATGCAAATTGGTTGAAGCATTTTTGAGTTAGTGTACGACACATTGACGACAGACGGACGGACAGACAAAGGTATACC